GTATTAAATATACACACACACACACACACACACACACACACACACACACACACACACACACACCACTCACTGTGTGTCCCTGGAATGTTTTGATGGGCCTGTCCTGTCCCAGTTTACACACGTGGATGCACATGTCTGTGCTGCAGGAGGCGAACGTGTTGTTGCTCTGCCAGTCCACGTCGAGTGCCGGAGCTGTGAGGGCGAGTTAGAGACACACGTGAGAGAGATCCAAACACAGCGGGAACATTGTGAGTGACAGGAAGTGAGGCTGCTGTACCTGAGTGGAAGGGAAACTGTTGTTTGGCTTCTCCTGTGTGGGCATCCCATATGATTGTTGTCTGGCAGGACACATGCACATGTTCAGTTAGAGCTAACAGGGACTACACAGCACACACATGAGAAATAAGGCTGCAGGTTAACTATTTACTGAACACTTCCTGCTTTACCTTGTCTACTCCTGCACTCAGGATAAAATTGCCTTTTTTATTCCACTTTAGGGCGAAGATGGGACCTTTGTGCTGGCCCAGTGTGCTGGCCAGGTTCCCTGTGGAGCAAGACAGGAGGGGAGGAAGCAGTTAGTATCATAAGAAAAAAGAAGTCCCTCCCCATAGGCCGAGGAGCACGAGGTGGAGAGTTGTGATTATAAATATTGTTACAGTGACATTATGAAAACTGCTGGTACTTTGACAATGCTTATCCGGTGGCAGAGGGATAGTACTGGTTTTCTGTTTTTTGGCTGCATAGTTTATTATAGACTTATTATTGGAACTGACAACATAAAAAAAAAAAGACCAGCCTCAGCATAATGTATTCAAAATGCACTTACACATCCAAAATGATCAAACTAACTGAAAAGGCAAAAGTGTCCCAAGGGTTAATGGTCTACTCTAAATTACACGTCAGAACCTTGGTGACAATATGCAAACTTGCCTTTAGGTGGCAGCATTGCTCAATAAACAGCCATGAAGCACACAGCCTGTAGTCCATCAGTGCACATCGTACACTTTAACTCTTGATATAACATATTCCCCCGGATGTATGATTTTGCTCGTTTTTCTGAGATAATGGTGATTAAATGAAGTCAGCTCACCGTCCTTCGTCCATATTCTGGCAAAGCCGTCATACGAGCCTGTCGCTAGCAGTGTGCCTTCGCTCTGCAGAAAGAAACAGAGAAGTTAAAGAGTGTGTCAGAGAGTGTGTGTGTGAGAGTTATTTGAATACAGCTGTCTGAACTGTGTTTTACAGCTGCAGAATCAGCCTTACTGAGTCCAGGCTGAAAGAATGTAAGGAGAGGTCTGTGTTGGTCTCTGCCCTTGGCCCAGGTTTACAATCCACTGGCTGAGCCACAGGAAAATTCCTCTCTGATGATCTCCCGCTGTTACAGCTCATCATCAGTAACGTACAGGGAGCTTTGGGAGTCCCTATGGGAGGGGCTTTGGGTGCAATTTGCCTTTCTGATGCGCACAGGAGTGTACGTGCATTTTCTGTCTTTATATCTCCTTAGTGTTCAAATGTTTAACATCCATCCATCCATCCATCTTCTCCTGCTTATCCGTGGTCGGGTCGCGGAGGTAGCAGTTCCAGCAGAGAGCCCCAAACTTTCTTTTCCCTGGCCACATCAACCAGCTCTGACTGGGGGATCCAGATTATGTTTAACATAGGTATAAATAAATAAGTAAAAAGGCATACATTATGGCTTTGAAGCAGCATGACAACATGAAATCGCACAACAACAAAAAACACTTCTGCCATTATTGCAACTGCAGCCCAGCATGGTGACCCACATGTTACATGGTGTGTCTGTCAGCGTGCTTACATTCCAGTCTAGCGAGGTGACGTCTTTGTTGCTGGGGACGTCCTGCCCCCCCTCTCGTATGCAGTGTCTCAGCACCAGCTGTGTGGAGCTGCTCGTACTGTTCTCACTCAGGTTCCAGATGCGAGCCGTCGAGTCCCCAGACCTGACACACACACACACACACACACACACACACACACACACACACACACACACACACACACACACACAATGTTGAAAATGTAAACATCACACTGAAGCTGGACACAGGCTAAAATCATCATCACAATGTCAATAACAAATCTTTTAACATGATTTACAGAAAAATCAAACAGATGTTTCTCAAAGTCAACAGTGTTCCACTAGTATGCGTTACTTTAGCAAACTTGAAATTATACAAAAGTAGCTCCTTTTATTAGCTGAGTTCAGAGTCCTACATTTAGATGACTGCGTTAAACTCTAAATGATCATATTATGGCACCAGGATTCACTGAAATCTTTTTAGTTAACAACAAATAAACTCAAGAGGCGTTGTAGCATCACCTCCTGTTCTGTATAAGAAAGGCAGAGAAAGGAACTACCCTCATTTCCGGACTATAAGGCGCACCTGAATATAAGCCGCAGCAGCTAAATTGAATGATGTGTACATATATAAGCCGCACTGGACTATAAGCCGCAGGTGTTTTAATGTTTAATTACCATATGTAAGGGTTCGTGCACAGAGGGGATTGTCGGGAAAGAGATGGCTGTTTGAGGAAGCTCCCATTTATTAACATTTCAACAAACAAGTTGCATATTTGCATAACGTATTCAAGTGTTACCATTTAGTGCAATAGTAGCTACAGAATATGTACTGTGCTGTGTAAACTGTACTGTATCACATAGCGTTTCAGACACACAAACTTTTCAACTTTCAAACTTAAACGGTGCGCTCCCAGCGCACGTACCGGCAGTGATCTACAGCAGCGGTTTTCAACCAGTGGTACGGGGACAAACTGTCTCGCTCTCGTAATGTCTGTCTGTCTTGCTCTCGTTCTGTCTCTCGTACCACTCTCGGTTCCACTTTTAATTTTGCGCGCTACCTGTCTCACTCTTTTCCGGCCTCCAGCTTTTCCTGCCCGCCGTTTAAAGGTGGGGGTCCGCGGACCGGCCATAGAGCCCATATAGTTAAAGGTGGTGGACTGTAACCTGTAAAATCCATAGATTTAGGAGGTCCCCTAGTGCCCGTTAGCTGTAAAAATCCATAGATTAGCCGCACCGTTATACAAGCCGCAGGGTCGAAAAATGGGAAAAAAGTTGCGGCTTATAGTCCGAAAATTACGGTAGCTGTTGTTGCCTCATTCAGAGTGAGCGTGCAGTGTCAGAGAAGAGGTAACTCACCCCTGAAGCCAGCAGGTCGCTGACGGGGGTTCCAGGGCACAGATGAAGACTTCTGACTCGTGGCCCCCTCAAGACCATGGCCTTGTTTCTGAGGGATCTCTACGTCTCCGTCCACCTCCATCAGGTCTGCATGGTTATCTAAGCACACGGCAAGGCAGGAATGTTTCAAGTATATATACTGTATATAGCATCAAACCAAGGTGAAAACACATTGGCCATCACTCGCCACGTCCCGTATCTCTTTGTAAGCATATCACTCACTAGCTAAGGCATGGGCTCCGTTCTCCTCCCCGTTGGCAGTATTCTCTCCGTTCTTGGCATTGCCGGCGATGCTCCCTCCGGTGGCCGAGGTCGGGGCTGAAGCGGCCGCCTGCTGCTGCGCCATTTTATCTCTGTAGGCCTGCTGCCGTGTCTGAACAACATCCGGCATCACTGCGTCGATCAGAGACAGAGACTCTATGGGCCGCCCGTCAAATAGTGTGCCATCCTAAAGAGAGGAGGAATAAACAGTTAGGGAGGAGAAGAGGAGAGAGCCGAGAGGAAAGACGAGTCGAAAGAGGAGGAGACAAGGAATTAAGGAGAGAGAAGAAGAGAAGAGAGGGAGGCCAAGGAGAAAAAAGGTGACAAACATGTAATACGGTGAGAAGAATAGAAGAGACAAGAAAAGGAGGAAGGAAAAAGATGAGAATAGAGGGAAGGATACATGGATAGGAGGAGGAGAAGATAATTGATGGGAGAGGGGAAGGGGCAAGGAAAGTAGACACGAGGACAGGAGAAAGGGACCGTAGAAAAGACAAGGTAGGAAGAGCAAAGAGAGAAGGAGAGGAAGAGAGGTAAGGAGATTGTAGGGGGAGGACACAAGGAGAAAAACGACAACAAAGGGAAAGCACATAAGGAAAGAGGAAGAGGAGACGAGAAGGGAGAGGAAATGGGAAAGGATGGGAGAAGAGGAGATAAAGAGAGGGGATAAGCAGTGTAGAGGAGAGAGGGGTGTTTCCGTGTTGTTGTTGTTGTTGTTGTTGTTGTGCCCCACCTCGTTGATGCTGACTTCAGCCTCCACATACTGCAGGCCCTTCTGGATGATGCTGATCAGGGCAGCAGGGGGCACCAGAGCTCCATTGATGTTGGACTGGCTGATGTGACTCTCTATACCGAAAGTGAACGCTGAGTGGGAGAACCCTGGAGAGGAGAGCAGGCATTTCATCTCATCTCATACTGTACAAAACAGTAAATAGCATTTCCTTCATGATTTATTTAGGGACTATATCTTACGTTTCCTCCACTGCCATCTTGATCCTTGCACACGAGTGCTACTAACCTTGTTCTCTATTCATACTCGCCCACATGTTTCTTTCAGAGGTGTTTCTTTTCTAGATAACTCCCCCATCATAGACGACACATACCCTTTACGGTGTTAATGAAACAGTGGTGTAAGAAGTTCTCAGATCCTATACTTAAGTCAAAGTAGTCAATAGTAAATACTCTGTTCAAAGTAAAAGTCCTGCATTCAAAATATTAGTAAATAAGTAAAAGTACAAAAGTATACAAAATACCAAATGTCAAATGGCTCACTATCCACAGTGGTCATTTTCAGAAAATAAAAAAGAATTAGTGACGCATTAATGTGTCTTTAATTGTAATTGTTCAGTGTTTAAAGATGGCATAACATGAATCCCTTTTTATACTGCAAGGCATTTCTATCCATAGCAGTACAGTATAGTGTATCAGTTGATTTATTATGTTATGAATAATATAAACCTGCAAAAGTCATTAGTAACTATTGTTGTTAAATACAATGTAGTGAGTAAAACATGCAATATTTGCTTCCAAAATGCAGTTGAGTAGAAGTACAAATTAGCATAACATATAACTTTATAGCAGGGGTGTCAAACTCAATTTCATCACGGGCCACATTCGCATTATGGTTGCACTCAAAGGGCCGGTAGTAACTTTAACACTATATAAAAATACATATATAAATATTTCATATATATAAAATAATGTATTACATTACATGATTGCCTCTGCATTGGATTGTTATCGGATAGGGGAATAACTTCATAATTAATTAGTCTTTGCAAATAAGTTGCATGTCTCTTCAGTGGGAGCTGTCGCAGAATGCCTGTTTAACAACACGACATTTGTGGAACAGGCTGTGTTTATGAAAGGCAACATGTCAGATTTGAAGAGAGAACAGAGTGCCAATTCGACCACTGCATTGTCTGTCCTGCAGTGGTATACGCAGTGGGCGTATCACGTGCTTCTGTCTCTTCAGTGAGAATGTCACAAAATGATTTTAAAAGACATTTTGAAAAGGCATATTTAGAAGAAAAAAAGTCAAATTTGAGAAAAAAATCAAATTTGAAATGCATTGTGCTCCATGTATGGGCAACGTGCTTCTGTAAATCGCCATGTAACCGTATAACAAACATATTATATTCTTTGCAAGCTCTTGTGGGGCCACTTGAAATGAAACCGCGGGCCGGGTTTGGCCCCCGGGCCTTGAGTTTGACACCCCTGCTTTATAGGGTCTGAATAGGCCAACTCGTTGCCAGCTCAGTAGCCTTTTGGGACGCTTACCACTGGACGTGTAAATGTGAATCATCCTCATCATGTCTGCTGTATTATTACACATGACAGCTGAAGCCTTTGTCCATATAGAAACACATAGTAATTGTGTACATTATTTATGTGTCAATTAAAATATGTTCAATAGACAAACAGGATCTTTGTGTTAAATGTAAAGGATCAAAAGGCCTGTCATTATTTGACGTACCACTTCTGTGTTTCAATAAAAGATTAAACAAGAATGTAAACGTGACGGAATGTTTTTGATTTATGTTAGCCATCTGTGCCAAAAGTATATGATATGAGGCGTGGGATGTTAAGTTTCACACGGTTCATTGACACACATGTGAGAGTGTATTCTGCACTGATACAGGGTTACAAAGCGCAGCGCAGTGGATGAAAGGTCAGTGTCACAAAGGTTAGGAAGCCGGCATTTATTAGTGACCAGTGACATATTTTAAAGACTTTAACTATGAGGTTTCCCTCTCTGTCAGAAAAGCACCACCAATAATACAAATGTTTACTCCCAATGTGCAGGTCAGGGTTTGGCATTACAGCCTTTAGCACAGTTCTTAGTGTAAATACAGTCTATGCATTTAGGATTGATGTAGTAGTGGATAACCCACCCCCCACTGTATACACACTGCAGACAGACAGTGAGTGTGTGTGGCGCTGTTCTCTCTTCAATCTAAATGTTCCTTTCATACACCCAGCTGACCCACACACATGGTGTTGTGTAAACACAACCACCCAGTTCCCCAACAAGCTAACATGCAACTTGTTGAAAGAATCAAACAGAGACAGGCGTTTCTCTCATGTGTGGAGTCATGCAGGGGAACGATACAGACACAATATCAGAAAAAAATGTTATCAAATATATGAAATAGTACTGCTATAAAAACATTTATTTGGCTTTAAATATAAATAAAAAAATCATGTTCCCAGCGAATTATCTTTACTGTTTTGTTGTTTTTTTTTGCTAAATAATACACTTCTTAAAGACAAGAATTGCTTCTCATCACTTTGGTGAAACTTTGACCAAATGTTAGTTTACCATAGGTCAAAGCAAGTTCATAGTGTTCTTTAAAAAAAATGGGACCTGACAGTGAGGCAATGTTTTTACACATATCTACTTTTGGACTTTCATAACTCATTCAAGTTTTAGGATTGGTTTGATTTTTGATGTTTTTCTAATCAAAAGCCTTGAAAATAGTTGTTTGACCACTCAGAGCCACCGTTCATGCTAACAGCATCAAGACACAGAGCACTCTTGGACAAACACAGTGAAGAACACAGGGGTGCGTAACGGCGTAAAGGTGATGGCAGCTGTGGCAGAACAGCTTGCAATTCAGATATGATTGCTAAACATAGATGATGTGCTACATGTAGCTTAATTATAGCTTTTAGCTAATGTCATTCACTTTTTAGCGATGAGATCGGCGCTATCTGTTGCACTCATGTTATTAATTCAGTGGCTAGCAGGCTTGACTTTCAATAGAACGCAAACGTATTGATTTAATCTCATATGGAAAATCTTCTTAACAAATATGATCATGAAACCGGATGCAGAACACACATTTCTGGGGTAATCACTCTAATGCTTGGTGGTGACTTTGAACTTCAATCATCTCAAATGATGAACTTCATTTAGAAACTAGAGAATGTAATTCCTGAAGAAATTGCTAGTGGGAATGCTTTATGCTGAAAATCTGACGCTAAACTGCTATGCTGAAATGTGATGTGTAAGAAGAAAGTGAAGAATTTAGATTAAAATGATACATGAATACTGGGGGCAGGTTATAGGGCTTTGTAAGTGAGTAGTAGGTTTTTGAAGTTGATACGGGATTGAACAG